ACCCAGGCGCCCTATACTTCAGTTTTAAATATTACTTCCTTAAAAGGTTGTACAAGTTAGATAAATGGTTGATCCCATCAGAGAGCTCTTGGTAACTCCCTATTAGTATCTTTAAAACTCATGTCTTTTCTTCCTTAATAATTCTATCAGAAGCCATGTGACTTGATTTTAAAGTGATGAGAACTTCTGTGGGATCTCTTCCACTTTGCTGGGTAGACCCTTTGGTATGAAATGATCACTTTCTTTTTTCTGTTTCCTTCCTTCGCCATTTTAGTTTTGGTTTTCTACGGACAGGAAGCGTGGCACAGGAAAGAGCGGCTTCATTTTTCTATTGTAAACTGCACATAAACACAGTTACTTTATCCTTAGCATCCAGATACATAACCAAATACTTCTTCTTGTTAGAATTAACTTTCTTTACAGTTACTTCTCCTACCTTGGAACATAAGCAATTGTTAGGAAGGCGAATCAAAATTTTGTCAATTTACTTTAAAAATGGAAAAAAAACCACATAAATATAGATATCAATTTATCTGAATTTAGTAGATAATTAGCAGACTAAACCACCATCTTGATACCCCAAATTATAGTACTTCATTTCCGCATTAATTTTGTAATCTATACTTGTAAAATTAATCCATATTTCTTCTTTAACTTGTGAATGAATTGTAGAATTCTTTCAGAAGACTGTTACCCCTTTTTAAATGGTCAGTCGAGCATTCTTTCTTTTGCTTCTATCTTCAGGTTTTTATTACTTTTCCAGGCTACCCTTTCATTAGATATTTCAGAACAAAATTCACTCTTCCATTTTCTGTTTTCAGGCATATCTCAACCCTTCTGAGGCTGTTGGATTAATATTTTAAGGTTTCTTTTACCTGCTTTGCATTGACTTTTGATATCTGAACACTTGAATGCTCTATTCAACACATTTCTATGTTGTTGGGTTTTTTTTTGAGAATTCCTGGGCACCTCTTCCACTGCTCCTCTGCTTTCTTTGTCTTAATAATCATCTTTTATTCATTCATTATTGATTTTATTCATTTATTATTATCAGGATCCAGCCATTAGACAGGGTCCCATTGGCCCAGTTTGGGCACATTTTCATATCTAAGAAACATAGTTCATTGGTTATAAGTAACTAAATAGTAACTCAGATTTCTATTTATAGTCTCTCAAAAGATGTTAAAGGAAATCCAATTAATAAACTACAGCAACACTTCCTACACTCATCTTTCCTGTCCTCTCTAGTCTTCTCAAACCGTCCCATCCATCTGCTGCCCAGACAGTCTTACAGTTTTGAGCCCCAATGCGCTAACACCCCTATTTCCTAAACCAGCTTGAGTGACCTTGGTATTTGCTTATCTTTTCCTTTCCTCCCTGCCTCATCAGTCCAAACGGGTCTTAAGAAGTAAACAAGAGGGAAAAGCTGAGTGGAAAGTAAAAATATGAAAAATGTTTTTGACTAGCAGGAGGTTATGAAAAGAAGACTGGGAGCACTTACATATATACATTTTGTCACTGTCATCCATTCACCCATTGTCTACTAAACTCTTAATGTCAACTGAGTATGGTGGGGATTCAAACTTGAGCAAGATACTGTCTTTGCCTTTGAGAAGCTTACAAAATTAGTGACTGTGTGTCTGCTGTAGCTTCTCCCTGTCCCTTACACTAAAATTTGAAGTTCTTTTGATTGTCTTGGGAATACCCTTGCCAAATATAATCTCTTTTTCCTTATAAAGCAGTTTTTTGTCCTTATAAAGCAGATTCCATTCTCACAAGGAGAAAGGATGAAGATATAACTGGACCTGGATCATCACTTGAGTCTATGTGCTCTGTCTTCTTCATTCTTTCTCATTAGATGCATCCTTCTTTCCCCTTCTCCAAGGAAGCTTCAGCGAAGTTGACTGTTCTGATGGAGGTACTGGGACCTCTTTTCATCACATGTCCTACGTCAGTGACCTGGTTTTGTGTTATCTCTTGTGCATACCGACATCCTTTATTTTTAGACCATTAGGCTACAAGTGAAAGCTGATTCAGGAGCTGCTACTTTTTTTTTTTTAATTTTAGGCCCCTTCTTTCACATTCTTCAATCTTTCAGATTCACATATGAACATCCATTTCTAAAAAAAAAATATATCATTAGTCTAGTCCTTGTTTTACCACTGTTTTGGTATAATAAAATAAGTTCAACAGGTAATTGTTAAACAGCTTAGTAACTTAGGCATAGTACTGGGTGTTATGGATACAAAAAACAATGTAGGTAATAATAATAAAAAAATACATGAAATTTATTGAATGCCTATTATTCTTCCAAGTATTATTCTAAGTACTTTACTTTTATTAATTGATTATTTGTATTGTTATATTCTAAGCATTTTATTAATGAAACTCTGTATTAGACTTTTTCAGAGAAACAGAATATATATATCTATATATAAATATATAGAAAGAGGTTTATTATATATATATATGTATGCATACATATATATATAAATACATAGAAAGAGGTTTATTATGAGGGATTGTCTCACGTAATTATGGAAGCAAAACCCATACTGTGTACTTCTCTGTGTGGAGAAGTCTCACAACCTGTCATCTACAGGCTGGTGGCACAGGGAAGCTACTGGTAGAGCTCCAGTCCAAATCTGCAGGCTCAAGAACCAGGAGACCCAATGGTGTAAGTCCTTGTCCAAGTCCAAGGCCCAAGAACCAGGAACACTAAAGTCCAAGGGTAGGAGAAGATGGATGTCCCAGATCAAGCAAAAAGTAAATTAGCCCTTTCTCTGCTTTTTTGTTCTTTTTGGGCCCTCAATGGATTATGGTGCCCATCGCATTGGTAAGGGAGATCATTTTTACTCAGTTTACCTATTCAAATGCTAATCTCTTCTAGTAACACCCTCACAGACACATCCAGAAACAATGTTTTACCAGCTATCTGGGCATCCAGTCAACGTGACACATAAATTTAACCATTATGAACTCTATGAGATAATAACTAAAAGAAAGACAGAGAGGGTAGGTAACATGCTCATGTTTACATAGCTAACAAATGGTAGAGCCAGGATTTGAACTGAGGCAGTGTGATTTCAGAACACATGTTCTCAACTCTCACACTTTAATGGAAAATGAATTAGACTCAAAGAACTCATTCCTTTCTTTAGGAAGCTTATACTCTGGTGATCGAGGCAGGTAGGAGACATCAAATATCATTTCAATATGACATGATTGCTAAGATATGGACATGCACAGGATGTTGTAGCTTTCCCTCCTCTTGTCTTCACGACCTATGTGTACTGATTCCCAAAAGATCATTCTGGTGGTTGGCTATCACTTCTTACTGAGAAATAAAGAGGATGTTAGTTTTGAGTTGTGCTATCTTCCTGAGCATATGTCTGACACTTATTGGAGAGTTTGCCAAGGATGACTTAGGCCAGTAGATCTTACCCAGAATGGGGGTGGGATATTTGGCAATATCTGGAGACATTCTGATTGTCACAGGTGGGAAGGGCTACTGGTCTTTAGTGGGCAGAGGCCAGGAATAGCTGCTGAACCTCCTGCAGTGCACAAGGACAGCTCCCACAACAGAGAACCCTAAAATAGCAATAGTGCCAGGGTTGGAAAATACTGATCTGGGCTATCTATTGTCACCACTTCTATTAATTCACACGGAAGCAAGTAGCAGAATGAGAACAAGTCTAGATTCTGTGTCTGGTGATTTTAAAATCCTGAAGAGAATGTCCTGCTGGGCTGCATGCTCTGAGAGGCAAATACTCCACCTGCATCGCTGACGCCAGAGCCTCTCACAGTGCCAGGCACATAGTGGTTGTTCAAGTACCATTACGGGCACTGAGTTGGTTATGTCCCAGATAAGACAGTGTGTGGAATGGACCAAACAGAAGCGCTGTGACCAGGAATGCCTGAGTATGTCTGCCTATGCACTAGGCACAGGGTAGGTGCTCAATAGACTGTTGAAGGCAGAGACGGGTGGTGGGAAGGATTAATAACTAGAAACTTGAAAGCCCTGGGGACACAGGCATTTTCAGTCTTTTAACAGTTGAAGAGAATGCTTTTGGAAAGGACAGATTTGTGGAAAGTGAACAGCTGGATATGTATACATGATGTTGAACAATATGACTGAGGTTTTGAGGGACAGTAGAGGAGGCCAGAGTAATACAGGTTGTATTTCTTTTTCTTCTACAGGTAGCTTCTTTCCACTGTTCTTTCTCAGCCTAATTATATCCACCTCCTTTGTTCTTCTCCCTCTACAAAGATTCAACACACCTCCTTTCATCTTGCATCTTCCTTGCTGTCATCTTTTCTTTTCTTTGCCTTAACCAAACAAGGTTTGGGCACCCTCATGAAAAAAAAAAAAATAAATAATAAAAAAATTTTTTAAAAAGAACAGCAAACACAAATAGGAACAAAAGCGAATTTAGTTAGAATGAGAAAAGAAACCCAACGTATCACACGTTTTAAAAGCTAAGAAATACTATAAAAATTACAAATCCCAGAAAAATAGCGTACTACTTTCATTAATGAAATGCCTTCATGCTTCTATCATAATTTGCCACTGAATAGCTCTGGTTCCCATTCACTTTAAACTTTGTTTCTTCTCTACTTCCTGCCTACTGCTAGAGAAGTAAATTAAAGCAAGAGGGAACACAAGCCCAGAAGAGGGGATGTGACTTGTCATCATTTTATTTGAAAATCTACTGGTATGAGAGCAAGGGAGAGAGTTGGGGCCAGCATCAGTGTCCTTTTTCTTTATCTTCTGGGGGAGAACTAGAAGGATTATCAGCAACACACCCTACCCCCATACCCACCCTCACGCTCCAACTTTTACTGCATTCCTGATCAGAGGCCAGACCCCCTGGTGAAGACCATACTTACTGTTTCCAAGCAGAAACTTCTTCTCTCTTCTCCATCCCACCAGCTCAGGCAGAAGCTTTGCCCGCTGGGCCCCTCTGCCTTTCTAAGATGGCTCTCACTCTCGTTGACAGGTCATTCAGAACATTGGGTGACTGCCATCTCTGGCACCAACGTGAGTCTGCAAATCTCCAATTTGCCTGCTAAGTACAAACAACTCACCTGGTTTTACACCACCAGTCAGAAGATTCTAGAATGGGAGTCCAACCAGACTATTCTCTTCAACTCTAAGTTTAAGGGCAGGGTCAGTCTTGGTCAAAGCCATGATCTGTGCATCCATAATGTCCAGAAAGAGGACAGCAACACCTATATCCTCAGGGTGTTGACGGAGTCTGGGACAGAGAAGGAGTGGCATATCCCACTGGAGGTATTCGGTGAGTTTTGGGGAGTCCCACTCCAGGACCCCGGAGGGACCACTGGGAGGTTTCCTAGGGTTCATGGGGGCTCTCTCTGGGAGGAGGATAGAGAAACCTCAGGACAGGCTTCATTAATTTCCCCTGGAGCCACTTCCTCTGGGGAGTGACCCTGGGCCAGCAGAGCCCAAATTGATAGCCTGAGGACATTTAAAAGTTCTTCTGATGTTAGTGATTTGAGATGTGAAGAGAGGGAAAACTATAGAAATGATTTCCTATTTTCTTGATGCTCTCCTGTGATCAACCCAAATCAATTCTGAGCTCATCTTAATAATATACCTGAACACAAACTTCATCAGACTTAAGGAAAAAGTTACAAGAGACACAGGATGGGGCAGGAGCTGTTAAAGGAAGGTTTTTTTTTTTTTTTTAATTTTTCAAAATGGATAGGACAAAAACTTCCACTCACAGCTCTAGCCTAATCAATATGTCGAGAATAAGGACTTGGATATCATACTTGGAATCAGACAGACCTGGGTTAAAAACGTTGGTTGCTAGCTCACTTCCTAGCTGTGTGATCTTGGAGAAAGATCTTAACATCTCTGTGCCCGTATTAGGTAAGTTTCTTTTGATGGCAAGTAAAAGAAGCCAATTTGATGTAAATAAATTTAGCAGAAAGAAAGAAAGAAAGAAAGAAGAAAGAAAGAAAGAAAGAAAGAAAGAAAGAAAGAAAGAAAGAAAGAAAGAAAGAAAAAGAAGAAAGTTTATTAAAGAAACCAGAACTATTTAGAGCAATTCAAGGAACTGAGAAGAGTTAGGAAGGGCTGAACAGCGGGAAGAAAGAACCAGGGCCAGCCCCGAGTCCCCGGCCTCAGGAATCTGTGGACTATGCCTCCGGATCACTGCCATGTACATGACTTACCTCTCAGAGTCTAGACCTTTGTAATTCTGGGTTTAAATTCTCAGAATTTAAAGAGAAATTAAAAGAGAGAAATTGATTAAGCCAACTTGGTTCAAATATGTGTACTGATTGAAATACTTATGGCCCAAAGGGTCAGAATTTAAGGCAGAAACATGGTTCCTGGGGAGACCTCTGTGGTGTTGAGGTAGACAAAATTAAAGAAGAGGGGTGGGCAGGCATCCACGACAGATATCTACCCAAGAGCCTCATCTTATGAGATAATGACATCTTCCTTTTAGGGTGTTATGAGAATCAAAGCAGATAATGGGAATGAAACATAAAAAATGAAAATAAGGGGTTTTTCCCAAACCAAATCATTCTATCATCTAGTTTCCTTCTACCAGATGATTACCAAAAATATAAACACAAAATCTCTACAGAATACTCAGAACATATCTGTAATCTTTCTTCCCCAAAACAGTGTAAATGAAGAGTGTCTTCTATAACCCACCCACTAGATGGTTCCTGTTCTAAGAGGCTGGAAGCCTTTTCTCACATACTTCCCCCAAGTCACATGGCCTGAAAATTTGGGAGGTTCTGGGAAAAGGAAAAGATTCAAAGTCTCTTACAGTGGTGTTAAGAAAAGCCCAAATTTATATAATTTACCAATTTCTGTTGTAATTACTCCCACCACAGCCAACTCCAAGTTAGCAGTGGTTTCACAATCAGCTCGCAACAATTCTGGATATTTTAAATTCCATAAGCTGGTGTGACATAAGCACATCTGCCTGGGCATATGACCCTCAGGATGAGATTAGCAGAAATCTCATTCTTCAGTACAGTCCTTGAATTTCTGATAGCTCCAAGGAGATATCTTAGAGCCAGACCACCCCGGCTAGCTCAATGAACCCTACCACAAACCACCCAGTGCGTGCTGCTCGCCATGTGAAATGCGGAAGATGTATGAACGAGAGGTTAGACGACAGGAAATGGCAAAAAATAGTATGAAAATTGCTCAGTTCAAGCATGCAGGGAAAGTCCAGCAGTCTCAGTGGGGTTCACATAGAAGATGGGGCTAGAGTTCCGGAGGCCAGACAGATGGAACTCCCATTGCCCCCCACACACTTGCAGCCAGACGTAAGCTCTGTTCTGGTCAATTCTTGGCACATCTAATCCTTTGACACCAAAGCAGCACTGATTCTGCAGGTGTTTTACCCATGGGCAACATGAAAAGGCCCGGAGGATTTCAGAACAAGTGGCCCTGGCAAAGGAAGCAGCAGATGCTGGGATTATCTTTCATTCCATCTGGTGGCAAGACGACAGCAGTAATGATTATATGACCTCCAACATGCACAGAACACTCGTGCCCCATGGACAGTGTCACTTTATCTCACTAACATGGTTCTATGGGGTACAGTCAGTTTACCCATGAGAAGGAAATTCAAGGGGTTACTTATCTCAATAATGTCACTCCCAAGTCCAAGACCTAGGCTGATTTCACTCCAAAGCTGCTGCTTTGTCCTTTGTATATCATAACTGCTCCATCCATCCATCCATCCACCCACCCTTTCATCAGATACTTACCGATTCCTATCAGGTAAGCATTGTGCTAAATCCTGAGATACCAAAGTTAGCAGACACAGTTCATCACGGCTGACGTGTGCTGGGGGTTATATGAGCTTCTTCTCATGAATCCAGGAGAGGGCTTTGCCGTGGGCAGGGTAGTATCTCTTACTCCAGGACTCTCACTGAATATGAGCCCAAGAGCACCTGATGGGCAGGTGGGCCACGGTGCCAATTGTGGGCTTGTGCTGGAGAAGGAGGCTCACATAACTTAGACAGTTGGGATACCAAGTCTGACCCCAGGAGATCTCTGCTGCTCTTTCTGACCCACAGAGACTCAGAACCCCATTTTGTTTCTGGGTGCACGGCTCCCCCTCCTGGATCAATTTTAGCTTCACCCCCAAGCAGTAGCCCTTCCAGTCTGAACCTTCAGAGGGCCAAGCTGCGCACTGGCTCCTCCTGTAGGAGCCTCTTCTCCATGGCACCAGTTTCCACTGCACTCAGGGCTCCTCCCTAGCTCCCTTTGTGTTTTGTTGGCTAAACACTCAAAGCATAATTGCCTCATAAATGCATGAACTCATGTCTCATCTTGCAACGTCCTCCTGATCTTCAGATCCTGTACCTAAACCTGAGATAGAAATCCAGAAGACACAGGAAGTGAACAATAGATGTCACCTGCAGCTCTCATGCAGGATCCCGAACCAGCTCATAAACTATACCTGGTATAGGGACTCAGGGCCCTTTTCAACAGGGCTCCAGAATTCTGTGCTTGAAATCGTCGTTGAGCCAAATAACTACTCCACGTTTTACACCTGCCAAGTCAGCAATCCCGTGAGCAGCAAGAATGACACTGTCTATTTCACCTCACCTTGTAAACTGGGTAAGAAGTGTTCCTGAGGGGGGTGGGGGTGGGGTGGGGGTGGGGGGCTAGGGCAACTAGTTTCTTTTGGATGAAATGAAGGAGGGTGTGGGGAGCCTGTTCAGTCCCCTGCTCAGGTGGAGGATCCCAAATGCATCTGTGAGACCTGAGAGGCTCAGGTTCTACCCCAGGCTCTTTCACCAGCTGTCAGCAAGCTTACCTGGCTTTTGTGGAGTTCATCGTCCTCGCCTGCAAAGGGTGGCTGGCACTCCTACCCTGTTCTAACAATGCATGGTCTTAGAATCCGGGGCCTGGGTGATTGTAGGACAATCTGAGCTGTTAGGGGAAAAGTCCAAGTGGAAGAGCAGACCAGACACAGTTGAGCAGGTGCATGAAGGGTTCCTGGCAGACAGCCTAAATCAGCAAAGGAAAGAAGGGCCAAGTAGATGAGCACAAGCAAGAACAAGGATGGGACAGGGGTGAGGGCCTTATCCTAAGGCAGAGACTCTCTGCTCTTTAGAAACACAGACTCTGGGTTTCATGTTTCAGATTTCTCTGTCTCTTGGGAGGACGCACTCACTTGAGTATCACTGCCGGCTCTCTATCAAGCCTACGCAGGTCTGATAGTGGGATAGCCAGGATGGGGCAAAAAGCTCATAGGTTTTAGAGTCAGGTACCTGGGGTTAATCCTGGGATTGTCACTTAATAGCTAAGCAAGTGACTTAGCTTCTCCAAGTTATGCCCTTCTCTAAGTTCTATCCTTCTTAAATACCAGACAAAATAGTAATCCTTATGCTGTTAAGAGGACTAGATGAGACAGTACAGATACCCTCTCTAGAACAGTGCCCTACGGGTCTCCAGTGAGTGGTACTGAAATTAAAACCAGTTTCTTCAATTCTGGAGACACTAGGGACTGGCAGGAGCCCTCAATAAATGTAGATTACTACGCCCAGCATTCTGGGTCTTGTACTTTCCACACCCCTGGAACGACATCCCTGAGTATACAGATCCACACCCTTCCAGAATAACTCATACCTACAGTGCTGACATTTGCCTGAGTTCCCTGTCCTGCCAGTCATCAGGGACCATGGCCCCCAGGGACAGTGCTCTTTCACAGTCTTCCTAGACCCAGTCTACTCTCCCACCTGTGCTGATTTCTTCACCTCTGTTCCCACACAGGGACAATGGAACCTGGACATTCTTCTTCATTCTTCCCACCTGACTTGCCATGCCTCTTCTAGTCTGTCCTGCCACCACAGGCCCTATGTGACAGTTTGGTATCTGACCATGAGACCACCTTCATATCAATACCACATCCTGAGATCCAGAAAAAGAAAGAGAGACAGTCCCTGTCCTTTATAAAATGAGGGTGACAGCTCATCTACAATGAGGATGAAAACAATACTAAGGCCATTGTTTTGGAAGGGCTAGGCCAATCTTTTCACTTTTTAGCCACCCAAATTGTCCTAGAAAAGCATCCCTCATTTCCCTCCCCTACTGTATCACTCATTCCCTTTTTCTTTTTATTTTCTGCTTCCTTTCCTATCCTCTCCTCTTACTCCTTCTCTCTCCTTCCCTTCCTATCAGTCTTCCCCTTCCTTGTCTTTTTCCCTCTTGGTATAGATGGGATGTGGGGTGGTGAAATGGAGAGGGGATGTAGTCTTACCTTCCCGAAAGTCCAGACACTCAAGCATTTGGAGTTTTCTTGCTCTTTCAGGCAGATCCTCTGCAGTAGCTTGGATTGTGACATGGCTAATTATCATGGTACCCATTGTTCCTGGCCTCCTCTGGACCTGAGACAAGCTCTTCTAACTCAAGACAGCTGGATCTTGCTTTCATCAGCAGCCAAGCTGTTATCCAAGACAGGAGCTCTGACTACATGGGATGATAGAAAGTGTGCTATTGAAACATCTACAAGGATTTTCAAGTTAACTTTTTAAAAACTATAGTAATATTTTATTTTATATCTTCTACTTATTTTCCAACATACTTGCATCGATACTCCTATATTCTTCCCACCAAAACATGTGACCACATTATGCAATGTTTTCTTGTTTAAATAAACGACGTGACCACCAATGTCAAATGGTCAGACCATGTCTACTCCATTGGCCTGAACAAATGCAATACAAAGGAGAAGAGCCTGGGACCATAGGCTCCTATGTGTTCGTGTGTCCGAGGTGTTAACTTGTGCTGTCTCTGACTCTTGCTCCCACATCCATGCCAAATCTCCTGGGGTTCCAGCTCCTCCCCCCAAGTTCTGGCCTCCTTTCTGAGGAGCATGCTCTTTAGGTTTCCTGGGAATATGGCGTTAGGCTTACCCCTCCAGAGTGAGCAGGAGTGAGCATGCAGCTTTGCCACATAAAAAGGGTCCCTTCCAAGCCTTTCCTGGGGAGCCGAGCACCGCCCCCTCCCTTTGCGAGCAACTCTTCAAGTCCTACCTATGTCACAGGATCTAATAAAACCAACAAATGAACAAAATGTTCTCACTAGGGTCTTCCATTACAGGAAGGTGGGAGCCCCCATCCCAGGCCCAGCACTGACAGAACACCTGGGATTTCTGCTGTGTCTTCAACTCCTCCAAGGTTTTCATGGGCCTGGAGCTGAGAGGGCCTCTCAAGGATGTGTTCCCCTTCAGGGAACAGTCCCACCACAGATCACTTTTCCTCTACATCAAACCAGCCTTCCCTGCCATCCAGCCCTCCTCCAGCCAGAACATGTCTTGTGCTCTCATTTTCCTCTTGGGCTGTCCTGGTTAATTTTATGTGTCAACTTGACTGGGCCACAGAGGTGACCAGATGTTTGACTGGTTTTGGTGTTTGACTCAACATTATTCTGTGTGGGTGTCTGTGAGGGTTTTCTGGATAAGATTAACATTTGAATCAGTAGCCTGAGTAAAGCAAATTTTCTTCCCTAATGTATATGGGCCTCATCCAATTAGGTGAAGGTATGAATAGGCTTACGTCCCATAAGTACAGAAAAATTCCCTCGACCTGACTGCTTTTGACCTGGGACATTTGGATTTTTTCCCTGCCTTCAGATGTCATCTGCAGTCCTGGTTCTCCAGTCTGATGACTCAGACCTTGGGCCTTGTCAGCGTCCATAATTGCATGAGCCAATTCCTTATAATAGATCTGCATGTGTGTGTGTGTGTGTGTGTGTGTGTGTGTGTGTGTGTGTGTAGCTCTTGTTGGAGCTGGAGCTGGAGAATCCCAATACATGGGCCAAAAGGAAAGCTACCTTTCTCAGCTCCCTTTCCATTTTGCTGGGGCCATGTGACTGGTTTTAGCCAACAGAAAATGGATGGAATTGATGTGACAAGAAGTGAGGGACTCTGAGAAGTGGAGCCACATAATGCAAGGGGCCTGGGTCCAAGCCATTGCATGGAAGCCGGTTGCCTGGTCTACACTGAACATACATAAGAAAGTTTGGTTTTTGTTTGTCACCATGAGATAGCTTGGGCTCCCTAAAACTCTCACCATCTCCTTCAGTCCAGCCTGTGGTTCCGTCCCAGCCTCACTTCTGGTCGGCTTGCACCTTCCGGTGGGACTGTCCATGTCTCTTTTCTACATGCAATGTCCTTCCCTTTTCCTTCACTTTTTTTGTGGCAGAAGAGGTTTTCTTGAAGGGACATGCACACATATGTGCACAAATAGAATCAAAGAGCATTTCTGGGGAAAAGCAGTAAGAGGAAAGAAATGTCACTTTCTCTCCAGAATAAGCACAGTCCTTCACAGCCAAGAACACACGCACCTCCCCAGGCAACAGGTTTCCATCGGATCTAGTTCCTTGAAGACCAGAGGCAAATACTGACTTTGTCAGCCCAGGTCACTGGCACCAACTGTTCCTGCCTCTTTCCCTTAAGGCAGTGCCAGATATGTAATTTGTTGGACTAAGTGTGGAATGAAAATATGGGGCCCCTAGTTCAAAAAGAAGGGAAAAAGTGTCATTAAATGCTCTAAAATATAAAGTTTTGTCCTGTATTCTGCAGTCTTTCTGTACTTGGGATGATTTTTTAAAATACCTATTTAATGTTCTAAGTAAAGGAAATTTAAAATTTGAGTTATTATTACGGATTTTATTGTTTACATTGTACCATGTTACTTTTGAACAAAATAAAGAATACTTAATTTGTGAAACAATTGAAATTACTCAATTCATATCTTGTAGCCTGTACATGCCTATGTATTTTGTTTTTGCTAGAGCAGTAGGAATCATGCAAAAAACTAATTTAACTATTTGTTTTACCCCTTGATGGACACACATTTTCCCAACACTCTATGGAAGCCAGTGGCTTTCATGACACAATTCCTTTGAAGTCATTTTTGGTCTCTGTGAACCCTTACAGACCATTGACCCACTGGATTCTGTATTGGGGGTGGGTACACGAGTGCTGCATTAGGTTGAGGTGGCCAGAAGAGGATGGGTGTGCCGACTGCATGTGTTTCCTCTCATGTGCACGCTCCATTGTCCCAAAGGACCTCACTTAAACAACACAAGTTGAAAGATGAAATGATTAAGAATTTCAAGACAGTGACAGCAGAGCACCCAACCAAGTGAAGGGCCCTCTGGACATAGGGTTCTGTTTGACTGACTGGGCTGCATGCCTCTGCAGCCGGGTGTGCCTCAAGGAGACCTGGTACTTTACACCAAGACAATACTGTCTCTGGGAGTGCCAGTAAAGGGACCAAGCCTTATTCTCATGGATTCCCCAGCCCCTCGTATGTTTGTATACACCAAAACTCAGTCCAGTGATTTTCAGTATTACAAAAAAGAAAAAGACAGGGCCCCTAGGTGGCTCAGTCAGTTAAGTGTCTGCTTTCAGCTCAGGTCATGATCCTGGGGTCCTGAGATCGAGCCCTGGGTCAAGCTCCTGCTCAATGGGGAGCCTGCTTCTCCCTCTTCCTCTGCTGCTCCCCCAGGGCTTCTGCTCTCTCTCTCTCAAATAAATAATATATTTAAAACAAACAAACAAAAAGACAACAGGCTCCCAAATGGAGTCACTTGTGCTAAGCCCATGTTGCCAAACCGGTACTTAATAATTAACTTAATTACAGTTTCAATCTCTTCTAGGTTGAACCAATCAATCTGGAATTACCAGATTACCTCATTACTAGTGAGGTAATCTGCCTGACAGAACTCTGCTGTCCCCTAAAGGAAAGTGAGTTTGCCTGAGACATCCACTCTTTGCCAGTAACCTCTCCTGCTCCCTTCTGCTTATGAAAGTCTCTCATTTCATATAGCTCTTCACAGCTCCTTTGTATCTGCAGATGGGATGCTGCCTGACTCCTGAATAAGGCCAATAAGAGCTTTAAAATGTACTCAGTTTTTTAAAGATTTTATTTATTTATTTGACACAGAGAGATCACAAGTAGGCAGAGAGGCAGGCAGAGGTGGGTGTGGGGACAGGGAACAGGCTCCATGCTGAGCAGAGAGACTGATGCAGGGCTCAATCCCAGGACCCCAAGACCATGACCTGAGCCAAAGGCAGAGGCTTAACCCACCAAGCCACCCAGGCACCCCTGTAAGGGCCTATTTAGAGTCCCTGCTCCCCTGCCCCCAGGGGATTTACTTGGGAAACAAGTCCCGGAAACCAGCTCCAGGTAACAAAGCCCAGATACAAGGGTGGGTCAGGTTAGGTGGAGAATTCAATCAGTGGGGGCATGCATACTGTCTCCCTGGTTACCAAGGAGTATGGGCCCCACCCTTTGGGAGCCTTTGGGCGCCAATCCCAATCAAGGTGTAATAGGCTGGTTCAAATGTCTACTAGGGTAAATTGTAACTCAATTGGTCACCTAGCATCACTGTGGAGTTTCCTGTGTGTGTTACAATCTCATTGGCCACCTGTGCGTGGCCGGGCCTGACTGCATGGCCTTTGCCCTTAAAAGCTAGTCTGTGAAACAGAGAAGGGTCGCCCTCTCTTCTAAGAGGTGCGTCCCCAAATGTTCGGTTAGATTCTTGATGCTTGGCGCGAAATAAAGCTTTGCTTGACCTTTGCTTTATATCAGTCTCGCTCCTTTAATCACGGACCCATTATTGGGGCATAACACCCCTCAGTGGAATTTAAAAAAAACATTTCATTTATTTATTTAGAGCCTGCAGGAGCAGGGGGAGGGGCCAGAGGAGAGGGAGAGAAAGACTATCCAGCAGACTCCTCACTGAGCACAGTGCCCAATGGGGGCCTCAATCCTATGACCGACCTGGAGGTCATGACCTGAGCCAATATCAGGAGTTGGACACCCAACCAACTGAGCCACCCAGGTGCATGAATGAGCCATTTGTCTTTGTGCAAAGAAGATACTCCAGCATTTGCCCCCAGTTCTTACTGTTCACGGCCTCCTGAGAAGGAAGTCTCAGGAGGACGTCTTGGGCGGTCGTCCTTTTCAGGAAGCTCTGCTGAGCTCCACAGCACCGCCCTCTGCTGGTACCATGGCAGCCAGCTTCAGTAAAACGGAAAGCTGGGGATGAGGTCAGGGCTATGAGAACTTTCACTTTAACTGCAGCAAACCTGGGCATCTCGTTAAAATACAGACCCAGTCAGTAGATCTGAGGTGAGGACTGAGACTTTGCATTTTAAACAAGGTTCTAGGAGATACTGTTGCCCTTGTCCACAGACTACTTTTTTGAGCAGGAAGGTGCAAGATACCCCTGAGCTCCCTGTTTCTGGGCCTGTTTTCTCCCACTTCCTGCCCTGCTCTGCTCCTGGACACCACACTCCTTCCCTCCTCAACTTAAAATGCTCAGTGGTTCCAGCCAGGTTCCCACAATCCCCAGGTGCACCACTATGGCACCAGCTTGTCCCAGAAGGCCGCCCAAGGTGACACACAGAAGGTTTGCAAGACAAAGAGCTCCTGAGAAGTGAGAGAATGCAGCCTTCATATCCTGGTGGTGGGAACTGGGCCACTAAATTAGACCTGGACCCTATGACCTATGAGCGCATTCATTCCCCACCCATATTTCCCCCACGCTGGGCCCTACTGGGTACTGGGAGCTGCTTAATGAGAGCTATTGCTGACTGACATCATTAATGTGCCTGGCTCTGTGCAGAGCGATTTACCTGAATGTGCTCTTTTAAGGAATGGGGATGGGTATTGGAAGAAGAAATGTTTCCAACCCCCCCCTTTTTTTAAGTTTTTATTTATTTATTAGACAGAGCACAAGCAGGGGGAGCCAGGCAGGCGGAGAGGGAGAAGCAGCCCCTCCCTCCCCTGCCAAGCATGGAGTCCCACGAGTGCCTAGATCCCAGGACCCTGGGATCATAACCTGGGCCAAAGGCAGACACCCAACCAACTGAGCCACCCAGGCACCTAGAGATTTGGAGTTAAGATTTTATTTGAGAGAGTGAGAGAGGGAGAGAGGCGCGCGCGCGCTCACAATCAGTGGGGAGGGGCAGAGGGAGAAGCAGACTCCCTGCTGAGCAGGGACTCTAAAGTGGGGCTCAATCCCAGGGCCTTGAGATCACAACCTGAGCCCTACACTTAACAACTGAGCCACCCAGGTGCCCCAGGGATTTGGATTTAAATGACTTCCTTGACCCTGTTAATTCTACATAATTCTTACCAAGACCAAAGCAATCTTAGAAAGATCCCATCCCCCATCCTTACTTCTTACCGAGGAGTAAGTATTAACCTCCTGCAGTGCCTTGGGGCTAAGTTCAAGGGCACTGTTTGTTAAAGTGACAGCCTCTCCACCCAGAGAGAGGTGCTTTCCCCTCCCCCTACCTGCTGCTCTGGCCGCCCCCATCCCTCAGAAGACTGCATGAGGAGGGAGGGGACCGATTTAGCCCAGAGCCACCTGTGTCAGCTGCAGAGTGGTAACCGCAGGCCCCTATTCTCATTCAGCAGCTGACCTGCCTCTCTCCCCTACCCACTCCCCCACCCCGTGCTCCAGCTGAGCCCGCTGTGGCCCGTCTCCTTGGGCAGTCTCCTCCCTGACTTCAGTTCCTAGTCTTTTGTCCTCTCCTCCTCTCCTCCCCCATCTTCTCCCTTTCCAAAATTCTGTCACCTCACTTTCTATTCCCATCATCTTTCCATCTCTCATGTTTTCATCCTTCTGGTCCACATTATCCTGGGGATTGTTTCTCTCATTCCTTCTGCTCTTCACCTGGCCGTTCCTGCCTCTGATGTCCCATCTGCTCATGAGGGTCTGCACAGCCCCTGCCAGGTGATGCCTTGCCTGGTTTCTTTCCTATTTCCTATTTGTGAAATAGGAAGTGTGGTCCCCTCAGTAAATGCCTTCTAGTGCTGTGACTTCTGTGCCTGGGGCCCAGCTCAGGCAGAGCTCCCTTTGGAACAGACAGCACCGCAAACAC